TGCGGCGCGGGCTGGTGTGGCCGCCTTGCCCTCCCCTGCCATACCTGTCTGGAGCTTTCATCTTCCTCACTGTGGCTGTCATCGGTGAGTTGGCACCCCAGGAAGCCCTCTGTCCCCCAGGCGGGGCAAAGGGAGCTTGCTTTGCCAGACAGGGCCGTGGCATAGGGAGAGAGCATGCCTGTTTCCTCATGAGCATCGCTGCTTGGGAAAGCTAAACCTCAGTTCAGGTGGCTTCCAGATCGGACAATGGAGACACAGAAGCATCCTCATGCCTGTGAGGACAGGGTAGGATGGGGCCCAGTGGGTCAGAGCTCTTACATTGTCCCAGCAGCTGTGGTCAGGCCGCAAGGCCCCGATGTGATGGAGTCTGGATACGAGGTGGAGGCACTTAAGCCAAGGCCTCTGACGTGCTCCTTGCAGAGAACATCCCATGCCAAGCCATGGGAGCCTTGTCGCCTCCATGGTACTTGAGTCAGGGGGCTGGCGCTGCTGGCCCCACAAGATGTTAGTGTCTGCTGAGGTGCCTGATAGCAGCCCCACTGAGCTGTGCCCCCGGCCCCTCCATGTGAAACCACCTCCTCTGAGACCTGCAATGCAAGAACCCACTGGTCGCAGACTCACACATGGCTGGGGAGGGGGTTACCCTGGCCCTGGGAAGAGGGGTGAGTTTGAGGGTCTGGGGACTTAAAACCATCTTTCCTGCTCAGGTGAGACATTCATCCCCTACTACACTGGCCGCATCATCGACATCCTGGGTGGCCACTATGATCCTGATGCTTTCACCACTGCCATTGGCCTCATGTGCTTGATCTCCTTCAGCAGGTGGGTGTCCTAGCCTCCAGTGGAGGGTTCAGGATTGAAAGAGTGGGCTTTCCAGCTTCATAGATTTCATAGACATTAGGGCTGGACTCGATGATCAGAAGATCATCGAGTCCAGCCCCCTGCCCAAAGGGCAGGAAGTCAGCTGGGGTCATAGGATCCCAGCAAGATAAGCATCCAGTTTGCTCTTGAAGGTGTTCAATGTAGGCGCTTGAACCACCTCCGGTGGCAGGCTGTTCCAGACCTTGGGGGCTCGGACAGTAAAGAAATTCTTCCTTATGTCCAGCCTGAAACGATCTTGAAGTAGTTTGTGACCATTCGACCTCGTCATCCCTTGGGGCGCTCTGGTGAACAAACGTTCCCCCAGATGCTGGTGGTCACCCCTGATAAACTTGTAGGTGGCCATCAGATCACCCCTGAGCCTGCGCTTTTCCAGGCTAAAGAGCCCCAGGGCTCTCAGCCTGTCATCGTAGGGTCTGCTTCCCTGACCTCTGATCATGCGCGTGGCTCTTCTCTGGACTCTCTCAAGCTTCTCCACATCCTTTTTGAATTGTGGATCCCAAAACTGGACACAGTACTCCAGCTGCGGCCTCACTAAGGCCGAGTACAGGGGCAGAATGACGTCCCGGGATTTGCTTGAGAAGCATCTATGGATGCAAGCCAGCATTTTGGTCGCTTTACTAGCCGCCGCATCGCATTGCAGGCTCATGTTCATCTTGTGGTCAATGACGACCCCCAAGTCTCTTTCTTCCATAGTGCTAGCCAACATAGCTGGGCTATGATGCTCGCCAGCTCCTTGAGTACCCTGGGGTGAAGATTGTCAGGGCC